GCGATTTCATTTTAGGGTTACCACGATACGATACGTTCAATGCATGTTAAAAGTTTTTATAGCAGATAGGATTGTTTCCTCAAAAAACGTTCTATTAAATTGCAGTTCATTATAGGTAGGCTAAGAATTTACCTTGTTCTTTTTACTTTACATTTTACTGTGCAATACAGTATTTCAATTATTAAATACATACAGTATATAGTTTATACAGTACGGTACTGTAGATTGCTCTGTTTTGCTAAACTATCACCATTCTTTAAGACTCCTGGGTAGGCTAGGCCATCTTCGACTTACGATATTTTTAAATCCTTTATATTAAGTGCACTTGCTTGCTTGCTTGCGCGCTTACGACCGTGCAAATCTTTCGGTCGTTTTTCAACCCAATTCCCGTGATCCAATCGAGCTGACATTTTGCACACAGACTCGTTGTGCGTGACAATTTTTTCTAGGAATTTTTTTTTCATATTTAATTTAAAATACCAATGTGATAAAACTGAAACTCTTACTCAAGAAAAACAGAAATGAATAATAAAATAAAACCGATGCCACGCATATAAAGGATTTATAGTGAAAAACTTTGTTTTTACGGGTTACTTTTTTGACTTACGATGGGGTCGTCGTAACGCATCTCCGTCGTAAGTCGAGGACTACCTGTATTTTCTTGAGCAGCGCAGCTGAGCAGTATGAGACAGTATGCGGAATGACACAGTAACACGGTGGCATATACCCTCATTTATTTGTCCCGCCGTCTGTGTGTGCGTCCATCGTATCTTGCCAAACGTTATCGTGACATTATTCATGGGGAAATAGTTTTCACTCAACAAGACACTTTGAAGGAATGCATCTACCGCGTTAAAGGAAGACTTACTGTGCACTGGTATCATGTACAGTGTTGTCAAATTGACGTTGACTCATACATCTACTGACCAAAGTGTTAGCTCTATCTTAATACTGCAACATTTTATAACCTCACTTAAGTTTTCGTTAATTGAATAGATTTTCATATAGGAAATCTAGAACACAATTGTCTGATACATTCTTGCACGTTTAAAAAAAATTGTTATTCCATGAATATACCTACCAGGGCGAAAGGTAGTTTACAGTCATATGCGTGCTATCTGAAGGCCATGGTTCACTGCTTTGTGATTATTTCATGCCTTTGTGTGCAAAGCAGACTGCACAATTTGTGTGCGTTACTTTTTGACTCGAGAACATTTCCGCACAACTGATAAGTTAATACGCAATAATAAATGTGTTTTTTTCTCATTAATTCTTGCTTGTTAAGAAGCAAGGAGGCATGTTGCTACGAAAGTAATTTTTCCCCTCCTATTTTGTTGAGACTTTAATTGCTTGCTTGTGTTGGGGATTATTGTCCCTGAGCAGATGTGTATGGGTCGTGATTGACTGCGTGTGGTTGATCCCCACGAGACCCGGGGCGCATGCACGACACTCAAGGATACGTTGCACCAGCACAAGCTGTGTTCCCTCTGCACGTTTAGGGTAACAAAACATGTGTGCAGCCAGCATACACTCATAAGTGGTGACACACGCACGCAAAATCAATCAAGGTGGGTGCACGGTGATTACTTTTCAAAGAGAATAATTTTCATTTGGCGTTGGAATAAAGTGACTAGTTAAATAGATTTATAAGTTCGTTTTGCATCGCCTTTGCATGTTTTTAAGGTACGAATATGCGACTTGTAGTTCATGTGACTTGGACTCGAGTCAGACTCGAGTCATGAATTTGATGACTTCAGACTCGACTTGGACTTGCATAACAATGACTTTGTCCCACCTCTGAGGTGTGGACTCGAGTCATGTGACTTGGACTCGAGTCAGACTCGAGTCATGAATTTGATGACTTCAGACTCGACTTGGACTTGCATAACAATGACTTTGTCCCACCTCTGAGGTGTGGACTCGAGTCATGTGACTTGGACTCGAGTCAGACTCGAGTCATGAATTTGATGACTTCAGACTCGACTTGGACTTGCATAACAATGACTTTGTCCCACCTCTGAGGTGTGGACTCGAGTCATGTGACTTGGACTCGAGTCAGACTCGAGTCATGAATTTGATGACTTCAGACTCGACTTGGACTTGCATAACAATGACTTTGTCCCACCTCTGAGGTGTGGACTCGAGTCATGTGACTTGGACTCGAGTCAGACTCGAGTCATGAATTTGATGACTTCAGACTCGACTTGGACTTGCATAACAATGACTTTGTCCCACCTCTGCTATTTACACTATATTGACTGATGTTGATAAGATATCTGAAACCGTGTGAAGAATGGAGGACATTTTCTAAAGAGCTGAATTGTAAATTAACAATTTAAAACAATCTGCACGTAATTAAATCAAAGTAAAATTTCATAAATTTTCGTTGAGTTAAAACCAATAGTTTGCAGAAACAAATTGTCATTACAAATTCAGAGAAGTCACGTGAATGAATGTTGTGAATATATCAATGTGGCGTAAGTTCTTGGGGATGATCCGCCAACATTATGCCATGTCATTTGATGAGATCCATCAATTGATCTGCTCGCCAACACACAGCCTGTCCCGAGAGGCACATTATCACGGGTGAATCGCCAGCGAGCAGAAGGAGCGAGGGGGAAAGGGTACACGTGTGGAAGGGAAATGGGATTTACGGTGAATGACCCACCAAGCCAACGTTATACAAAACATTGTGCAATCACATTATGCTCACTATTAGAGCACTTTAGATTGTTATAAATGGACCCCATTCCAGTGAAACTGTACTTGACATTTTAATCAAAAGGTATTTGGAGCTGTGTAAAAGCTTGCAGAATTCTAGGCTTGTTTAAATTAAAGTTTTGTTCATGGACGTCTGCAAATTATCCGTAAACAAGATCTACACAGACACACAAGCAAGTAAAGCTACACATTCGCACACTGCAACTAAACACCTTTTTTTAAAATTGTCAATTCACACAAGTAATGTATTTTTAAAGCAAGCAACGTTGACAAATCATTCTCTTGGGCAGCAGCTTGTGGTCTGCACACTTACTGTAAGACTGGAGGTCAAACTGCCCCTCGTCTGGCAGCAACTTGTGGTCTGCACACCTACTGTAAGACTGGAGGTCAAACTGTCCCTCATTTGCATCGTGCCCCTAGCGCCCTACCTCAGTATGGCCAAGCTGAATGCCAAGTCTTTCTTAGTTCATCCCTGAAACCTGATAGTACCTTGAGCCCCGTGAATGAAGGGATTGCCTCTCACGACAAGGCCGACGCTAAGCCAGACAAAGGTCTAGAAGGTGATACAAACAGGTATTCTGTTTGGGGGCACAGAAAGTTGCGGCTTTTTGTGGATGCACGTGATGCGCGTGCAAAACGATTCCGCGGTCTCGGCTTCTGCTGAAACGGTGTTGGCATTGGCCCAAGTGCATCTATACTTTTCTACACATTTCAGTATCAACGAAAGGCCATCCCAAAACAACTTAGTGGATATTTTAATTTCTACCTCTTGACGTATGAACGCGGAAATAAAACGATTAGGTGATTGTGTTGCCCTGAAATGTCCCGCTAATGCCCCTGCTGACGGAAAGGCCTAGAGAGTATTTGGCCTACTCTTCCATGCTGGCCAAGAGATGGGAGTTCCCAAACTTTACTCCACCACATGTGACCTGCCAGTTGACTAGCTCCCCCATAAACTAGATTGCACAATACCATATGCCAATCCTGGAAAATAAAGCAGTTGCGTTTGTATATACAGTCTGTTAAATATCTCAATCAGGACATTTTCATCTCTGAAATGCAAAAATCAATGCAAATATCTAAATAAATAGGAAAGGTAATCGTTGATATGATTAATACATTCGTTAGACAGTTGCCACATTTAAACAAAAACTGAAGAGCGCAGTTTTGATGTCACATTGAAATAATGTTTAATATTTTATTATTCTACCTGATCTACCACATGTTTTCTCTGGCTTCAACATTGTAAGAAACTGTTAAAATATATATGTTCAACTAGAAGACTGGGCAGATTAAATAATGAAGCGTCCTATGTTTTTTTAGTTTAATACTTAAACAAAGCATACCTATTTTACTACCTTGGATTTGGTATTGGTAATAAGAGCGCGTGATGCATTTTTTTAATAATATGGGTTTGTTTTACATGGGTCATCGTGACCATTTCAAGTGCTCAGCAGATTTGTCCAGTCCAATCCATTCTTGGCTTCACTCGTACAACTATTTCTGGAATATCTGTGATGACTTGACTCAGAATGATAAATGCATATGTAATCAATACAAGAATAGCTGTGCATACAGTTAGCGGAGGCAGCACTGTGTGTCATTAAGAAAAAAATGTACGCTGATGTGTCACTTTTTGAAATGCAAAAATTTAAACCTTTCCAAATAGGTCATAAATATTCTTGGTTCTTTCGGTAAAGTCACGTAGATATAAAATAAAACTAAAAATGAATAAAAAATAAAAGCAACAAAAACCCACGACGTTCCACGTTTAAAAAGGATTGAAAAATTACAAATTTCACAATGGCGAATGGATTTTATTCTACTTTTGTGGGTTTTTTCAGCTCGGAATTCTAAATTTGCATTTCTGATTCTACATGTTTAAATTGACATTTGCTTTATGCATGCATATTTAATTGACATTTGATTTGCATGCCATATAACACGAATATCTGCCAAATTACAAACCATAACTTGGACCGGGTAGATTTTCCTCTAATGTTATATGCATTTTTAATTTGTCTTGTTGAATTCTTGTTTGTAAATTTTTCAATCCTTTTTAAACGTGGAACAAGCCAGCCCTTGCAAGAATTAGTATTGTGAAAAAAAGAGGACATTTGTGTCTGTAAAGCTTTTACATGAACTTTCTATTGCAAGGCAAGGACAGCAATAACGCAGTTTCCATGTCGGTCCAAATGGGTTTCGACTATTGTGTGTATTAGTACTGTAATGTGTTTTAATACAACACTACATTGCATTAACCACATTTATGTTCTCAGATATGGAAAAATTGTATCCACTAAGGCCATCCTGGATAAAACAACCAACCAGTGCAAAGGTGAGTTCTCACACATCTATGAAAGTAAACCATTTCAATTTACTTGATTATTTTAATGTGCCCTTTAAATCAAGGCACAATTATTACAAATTTAATATTACATTGCAGATGACATTTACTTGGATAACATGCGTTTAAAAATAAATTACAACCATTTTGAAAATGGATACAGTTGAAGCTGCTTGTAAGAACATAGGCATTCATTTCGAGAAGTGGCCCTTTTCCATAGGACATACAATCTCGCTTTGTTATTTGTGCACCACTGCCAATGCAGTATCACCAAATCAACTGTTATAAGAACAGTTATCACTTACATTCCACTCATGGGGGTGGCGGGGGGGGGTATGCAGAGGGCAACTTCTGTTACAAGCACACTACTTAAGATTTAAGCACGCATAGACCTTGCTCTCAAGATGTGTGCTTACATCTAATTCTAGATTTGAAGCTTTCGTGACTGCAAGGATTCATATTCTTAGGTTTTTTCGGTAAAGTCACGTAGGTAAAACATCAAAATTAATAAAAATAAATAAAATAAAACAATTTTATTTATTTTGATAAAAATAAATAAAATAAAACAATTTTATTTATTTTGATTAATTTTGATGTTTTACCTACGTGACTTTACCTTTCGGTAAAGTCACGTAGGTAAAACATCAAAATTAAGTCACGTAGGTAAAACATCAAAATTAATAAAAATAAATAAAATAAAACAATTTTATTTATTTTGATTAATTTTGATGTTTTACCTACGTGACTTTACCGAAAAAACCTAAGAATATGCTTACATCTAGTTTCTGCTTGTACAATAATCCTAAACCAGTGGTTCTCAAAGTGTGGTCCTGGGACCCACCAGTGGTACTCGACGGTCCTCCAGGTGGGCCGTGGGGCTGTGATGCAAACACAGGTCGATCTGGAAATAATCTTAACGTTTTGGACATTAATTTATATTGTATTCATGATATGTAATAAAACAAATGTAGGTAAACTACCCTGATGAAACTACCCTAAGATCTACATGCCTCCTCCTAAAAAAAAAAACCTTATATCTTTGGTTTTTATATGTTGGTAATATTAATTATTTTGTATAACTGCCATTCAGAGATAAGTTAATGCGTTTTGTCACCAGCGGTGGGGGAGGGGGGGGGCTGGGTGGTCCAGGGAAATGTTTGCATCGGCTGAGTGTTCCTCGGGCACAAAACAGTTTTTAGAAACACGGCTTTAAACTCAACACCAAATATGAATGGCCACCTATCGATGTTACGTGGTTATGCGAATAGCCCTTATTGTACTTGTGACAATATGGTTCCCCAATATATCAGCACAAACATGGGTTATCTGTGCATGGTACCCCTTATAAGTGTCTTTCACCATTATCACAATCGTCCCTCTCTGTTCTACAATAGCTTCTGCTCTGCTGCTGTGTCTGAGTGCAATGGCCATGGCTGATCGTGTGAGCAAGGCTTGGCTCTGCCATGACATGCACTGATAGCAGGGTACTCACAAAAGCCATATCTCAGCTGTCACAACCTTTTCTTATCTGCCACTCCTTTTGTTTCTGAGGATATCCTTTATTTCCCTCACTCTCTGATGCACCACTATCTTTGACACAGAATTTCAGTCGTACTTTTATTTTGCATGTTCCTACCAGCATGTGTCAAAATAGTCGGCAGATCATCTGTTGTAAATATTTAATCGTTTTACCTCTTCTCACAGGCCTTGATAACAATTGTTATGTTTTAAAGAAGTTTAACAATTAAGAATCGATATCCCTGCTCGGTGGAGTCAGGCCTCACTAATGTAAATTAATAAAGCCCTCGACATGCCAACACCCTCGCTGCTGTATACCCATCCTGCCTGCTCCCTTCCTTCTCCTCCTGTCTCTGCTATCTCTCCGCTTGTGATGTGGCAGGTCAATTGTCCCGGGTATGTTAATATCTGTATTTTATATAGGAATTCCTGGAATTCTCAGATCGTATTTAAATTGACACTGCATGGATTTAATTTTATGATTATAAATTGCCACCAAAACACAAATATCAAGATGGTATCTCGATACCTTGTTGGGATCTACTGTGCTGTATACTAACACCGAACCTTCCTTCTTCACCTCTGGCTTCAGACCACTGGTTCGAGAGCCCAAGCACAAACGTTTCCTTGGTTCAAAGTAATTTATTTACGTGGCTAACGTGGTTTAAGGCCGGTCACTTGCGATTGCACAAAACTGGCTAGAAAGTGGTAGTTGTACTACTGATGGCCTTCAAAAACTAACATTATGCAATGGGTGGTAGGTGCAAGTGGAAGGAACACTGTTAGTCACTTATTTTTGATCCGACAATTAAGTCTTTGGCAGGCTGATGGTACTGGAACTGCATGTGAAATGGCACAATTGATTGGCGTAGGCCCAAGAGTGCAGTATGTGAATTGAAATACATTTTTGTTAAATGTACTTTCACATTTCTGTCGCCAGCTTTGAAATGTGAAGAATACAGAGTAGGGGCATAATTGCGTCAACAAATTGAATGACACTAAATTATATTTATGTTGCATACATGCTATAACATTGTATCGAGTTATTTCTATCGACTAATAATGCTGGTAACCGTTAGAACCAGTCTCTATGGGCACAGTTTTATTGACACTTTATTTTAATGTACATATTGTATCGATGCTTAATTGCTGTCTAGTTTGCATTGAAATTAATCGGTGTACCTCAAAGCCACCACTATGAAAATTATATGTTCATAAAATGTTTCAAGTTTTACTTTCACTTTTGTGATGGGAATTAAGGTGAAGCTTAACAATACCAATGCAATCTGTACTTGTCAAGACACATTATTATTATTATTATCAAAACTGATAGGTGGTTGTGTTCATGAAATGCTCTACTGCAAGTGAGATCAGTTTAGTTTCATGAGTTTAACGTTGATATTCGTCAAATGTTTTGCAACATTAACCAACCTTTGGTCATGATTTAATGTTTTGTCAACGTTTGGTTTAGCCTGCTCATGTTTACTGATGCATTGCATGGTGTAGTATTGTTATATTGTATGTACAGTGGTACAAACTCAGGACCGCCTTTCGATTATGAGATGGAAGCCCAAGTATTTAATGGCCTACATTTATATTCGAGTCATTATTATTATTATGTCCACTTAAAATTGTATTTAGGTGGAAATGTTTTATGACATAGTTTGACCTTTGTATGATACACAAAGCTTCATAGCAACTGCAATTGAGAATATACCACTTAGTTGTGTGCCTTATTACAAACCAACAACTTTCTAATAGTGCCTTGTGGAAAACGAGCATTTAATTAGACTTCATTTTATTAACTTGCATGACCATAAGTATAACATGCGTATTTACTCAAAATATATAGTGTTATTAAGTGAAATAGCAGAACAATAACACGTTTTTGCTCTCACCCCCCATACTCAATGGGGAATACTGTACAGTTGTATTTGCCAAATCCAGTGCTACTCTGCCAGTTACCCAAGAACATTGCCCGTGTATATTATTATCGTCACACACTCCCGGAACCTCGAAGGTGGCTGTTTAGTCACTGCCATCTCCTTTGCTGATCGAGAATAATAAGCGAATGCCACAACAGTTGCATGCCCTTCAGCCCTGACCTTTTTGCACCTCGTCGAGATGTGTGAATTATTTTCTGAACGCTTACCAAAATAAAATTGTATTAACTTCCGATGTATTTTCTTTCAAGGTCTAGGTTCCAGTTTCTAGAGTTCAGTATTATCAATAACATCAAGTCACTTGACTTTATGTAAAGGAGATTTCATGTCGTGCCATTCCTCTTTTCCAGGCTATGGATTTGTGGATTTTGACGGCCCATCTGCGGCACAGAAGGCTGTGGCAGCCCTCAAGGCCAGTGGGATCCAGGCGCAGATGGCCAAGGTGAGTGATGCGGTGAGCATTTAAATACTTCCTGGATTTTTTACATAGAGATTGCAGACACCCATACACACTTACCAGGGCCGCGTAAGCATCAGATATGATTTCAATGGCGGTAATCGGTCAAAAGCCTGGCCCACTTTGATTTGCCATGCCAGAGGCAGTAAAATGAGGAATTTTGATAGGCGTGTTATTTGTGAGATGTTTAATTTCATCTATATATGGTGGTGCTCGTGGTACGTGACATTTATGATTGATAATATTTTGCATTTTGAGAGTTTGAAATATATTGTAACGTCACATGAGTGTTTTCATACATATATTTACTCAATATCTATATTAGAAAATGTTAAACACTATCAGTTCATTATTTACCATTAATTCAATAGGAATATCTTCTTTAGGCATACCGCTTGGTCATTAAATCAGTATCAGCAGATGCAGTATATATAAATACTGTGTGAAAACTTCCCTACAACAAAAATACATTTCATAATCACATCATAAGGATTTACTTCGTAGAACACTTATATAAATTAAGTTAATAAATTAAACATAGACGCAATGTGAACAAATGATACCCCTTATTTTCTTGCACCATGAAAGTTACCGCACGTAGATATGTTGCTGTACTATATAACACGTGATTTTTTTGTATCATGTGTTATTTTAACTTTGCTAAGTATAATACGATGCTAAGGCATAATTGAGTTTTGAACTCTGTGCAAAGTGTTGAAATATCATTTTGGACGTCAGTGGGTGAAGCACTCATGCGCTTCTGTGATAATGAGGTTTTCTCTGCTGCGAAATCAGGTCCCGTCGCCCTTGTGACTACGCGTTTTTTTTTATTAACGGTTATTAATTGCGAAAGATGGTGTGTCAGTGAAAATTTAATATCGTCAACTTGAACGGAGACATTGAAATCTAAACGATCATAGCAATATCACTGAAGCGTTGCTGAATTAATTTATGAAAGGGTCCATGGAGTATTCAGTCCAAAGTATTAAACTTTGGCAAGAGAGCCGAATGCGTGCGTGCTACCGCAGTACAACATTTGTGATGCATGGCGCTATGCGCATGCACACATCTTTACGCATGATTGTAATAACATGTACAAATTAGGAAGGACCATTGCCCGAAAAGTCACGTGTTTTTATTTCTCTGATAATATGTACATCTTTACGCATTTTTTTTTTTATAAATTAGACTGCTCCTCGCACACATGCTATGAAATGTTTGTAAGACACCGGGGAAAGACCGAACATAGACCATTTGTTTTTTGTTTTTCACAGTTTTACTTGTGATGCGGATAACATTAAATGGTAACATTCAAAGATGATACATAAAATCACAGGTATACTCTGATAGTTTTAGAGTCCGCCTGCGTTTCTGATAGTTCAGCACAGGAAGAGGCAGAAATTGAGCTATTGGGAAAAAATATTTACAGTCATCAGCCATGATCAGTTCACTGCTGGATGAAGGTGTTCCCAAGGTGCCGCCATCCTTTGGAGTTCTCCTAAGATGTCAAAATCCACCCAACAGCTGATTTCATCGCTCCATCATCTTTAAAATGGAAAAACATCAAGTTAAAACTGTATGAACTTTCGATTTAAAGCTTTCGTGACTGCAGGGATTCATCTTCTTGGTTCTTTCGGTAAGTCACGTAGAATGGAAGTAATAAAATAATAAAATAATAAAAATAAAACATAATAAAATAATTCTCACGACGTTTCAACAGACCTGTTCTCCACCTGAGGACGGCTGCTTGCGTTGTGGCCGAAACGTCGTGAGAATGATTTTATTATGTTTTATTTTTATTATTTTATTATTTACATTCTACGTGACTTTACCGAAAGAACCAAGAAGATGTATGAACTTTTTACTTCTGTAATTCCATTAAAGTAAATAAATACGCTATACGTTTAACCATATATGCCAAACTAATTGCCTCATTTCAGAATCTAAATGTTCAGCAAGTTTCCTTGTAAATGTAACCAATCACCAAATGTATCTTAAACGGTCACTTCCATTAGATTACGTGCAACATCTTGCCAAGTTTGCTTGCATAATTTCGGTTGGCTGACGACACCTCAATGGAAAATGTGTTATACAGTATGTACAGCCTTGTTTAAAGTTGCATTGGTTCAGTGTCTCCCAGTCACAGTAGTGGAGAAGTGTAATTAACCAGCCACCTACATTACGCTCCTTCCAGCTCTCCATGCATTGATCTCACTAACTGAGCAGACGGCAAGTCAGGAATGATTAGGTCCTTCATAAATCATCACAATTTACTCTACTTGCAAAATATCAATGTATCAGAAATTCGATTCTGTCTCCTTTAATTTTTAACAAGCCCCTGCACTGCTATTTAAGTTTATTAGGTGACATTATTTATTTTTATTTTCACAAATCGCCGGCCGTTTATCCAGATCTCGGAGTGATTTGATGGGTTAGGGATGTGTGGGATTCAACTGACTTGGCTCTTTTCACGCCTGGGACTGCACGTTCAGTTGTCATCCCTGGGGAGGGGGATACATTTTCTTAGGTTTTTTTTCGGTAAAGTCACGTAGGTAGATACAGCTATCGTGCTGTGACTGTTCCACCTGAAGACGGAAGCTTGTGTTGCTTCCGAAACGTCGTGATTTTTATTTTATTTTTATTTTACTTTTATTAATTTTAATTTTTTACCTACGTGACTTTACCGAAAAAACCTAAGAATATGAATCCTTGCAGTCACGAAAGCTTCAAATCTAGAGGGGGATACATTTAATCCCTCCCCAGGTGAAATAATGTTTAATTCACATGGTTGTGCTCAGTCAGTAACTGTACTTGAATAGTAGGACACTGCTTGGGAAGAACAGGTTGCTTGCTGTAGGGTTGGAGCAGGCTTGGGAGGTGGTCAAGAGCAGCAGCAATGGATTCTTAAAACTGTTTGCGAGGCTTTGAATGTGACCCCTTCGTGTGTGTGGTGGCTTTTCTCCGGGTTCCTTCTACACTTAACCAAACTCTCATGGCATTGGAATTGGCCAAACATCTTGAGACATCTGTGTCAGACATCTGTGTCAGAAACACTGTCAAAGAACACGTGAATGTGATAAATATGTTGCACACTGCCATATTTTTCAAACACCACAGTTTTAGGTCACCATTAATGTATAATCAGAATAAAATATCCGCCATATTAATACATGAGCATATAGTGAGATCACATTCTTGGCATTTGCTAGTGTACTGAGGTGTAACTAAATACATCCGAGGGATAAATGGAACATCACTTCCGTCACACAGAATCAAAAGAAGTCATAGAAGTATTTTAAAATGTAAAATGTTTTATTAATGAAATCTTGCCCAGCTCCCCCCTACCTCAATTAATAAAACTGCATTCACAGCAACTTGCGCACAGATCAAGAAACACTTTTCCATTACGAATGTACAAAGCCCACCAGTGCATTATCAGATCTTATCCTACGGTATTTATGCAGTTTGTGACTTGCCTGTGAATACTTGTTTCAGTTGCATGCTTCTTGGTATGAGCCAAGCTGGCAGAGTTTTGATTAGCCGTAGAGTTGGATATTCCCCCCCCCCCCCTTGTTCACAAACAAAATCAGACACTTGTTTTCACAAGTGGTTGATAGATGTTTTGAAAGATATAACCAATGGATCGTCATACAGAATCCATCACATTCGTGTGCAGAAGAATGTTTTGCACATTAAAAACCAGTTTTTTTTCCATAATACTTCTGAATAACATGCCCCTGTAGTTTGTTGTCATTCTGTGGTTGGTGGTGGAGATTACATAGGTGACAGTTGTGGATTATGTTCGTGTGTGCATGTGTACGTGTGTGCGTGCAATAATCACATTCCAACGTCAGTTGCACTGCGGTGTTATTTCTCTTGCATAGCCCTGTAAGAATGTAAACCCCACCCAAACCTGAATGGGTTTTCAACGATAAAATGTGATCACCGCGACTGCTTAGAATACCAATGTGGATATTTCAGTGATTTCGTTTATTCTACGTTCCTTAAACTAATAAATGTTTGCTCATGACAGTGTCCTTATGCGTAAATATACATTGTGCTGTGGTTATTTTTACACATGCACACACATGTTGTCAGTCTCGTGCAGCCAAGCCATGCTCTCATTTTGTTGTTTTTCAAGAAAGTCCTTTGCAACGATTTTTTTGCAGTGTCCTATTATGCAACATTCATGATTTCCCAACCCATAATTGGGTCTAGTTCATGAATAATCAAACCCATAGCAATGCCCTTCAATCAGACTCCCAAATGTGAACTTGGAATTAGGCATTGCTTCCATTTACTTGCATGCAACTTCCTACTCCACCACTGTTATTTAAATATATTTTAGTGCCAGATTCAGCTGGAGCTATTCATTAGTTTTTTCTGCATATGCACCTAATATTGTGAAAACCTACATAAATGGTATCTTTCATGACGGATATTAACACAGCCTAGCTCACAATACCATCTTACCGTCTGCTGATTGGAAACTATCCACAATGTACTTCGATGCTTCACTTTCCAATCTATAACACTTAAATGTGGAGCTGTAACAGTGCTGTAATGACCACTTTCGATGCTCGAAAAATGTACTATTAATTGCTGCCTGCTGAAAGCAACCTTTGCATCACAAAGACATCCAGATATGCTCTCATGTAGAAATGATTACTCACATGTCAGTCAGTGCTTTTATAATCGCCCAAAGATTATGCATATGCCATTAGATCTGCAATCTTTTTCTCCTAAAGTTTAAACTCAAACTCATTTCTCCCTTGAGCCACCAAATGATTTGTACACATTTGGTCAAATCTGATTTGACTCTCATCACGGTTAGCCTATCTGGTCGGGTGATACATTTCCAACATCGTTTCCATTGGGCCATTAAATCGTGTTTCAAGCATGTGCGGAATATCAACCTGTTTATCCAGTACAAAAGAAGATACATCAAATACATTGGCAATGTATTTGCCTTTTATTTACGATTGCATGTGGGTGAC